TAAGGTAAAATCTTTAGACTGGGACCTCGACCTCTTATCATAGACCTCCATTCTACTCTACCTGAGCTTGAATGGTTATTAGAGTGACATAATAACCTCCAATGTCTAAACTCTCACATCAATGCTTACACTAATGAAATGCTATCATAAAATCTCCCCTCGTGATCCATGAAATTATGTCAAACACATATACAATACTCATCATCATTTAAATATCATACATCATTATTCCCGTGCATATTTATCCATAAATTTGTCAACTATTCTCAAATAAATTTCATAAGCTTGCTATCATTTTGACATCACTTAATCCTACATTAAACATACTAGAAAAGTACATATAAATAGAGTTAGACTTTGTTAATTTCACTTAGCGAGAATATCTACTTGCTCAGCAAGTAATGTCTGAAAGCACACTCTCATAGTGACTAGACAACTTTTCCAACGAGATTATCACTAAAACTCATACTTAAATTCTCACAAAAGTCACCTAGTGAGACTTGTCTCACCCAGCTACTACCAAGTCAATGAGCTCTCTGACTTTGCCTTCGTCCAATGACTATATTCTTGCCCAACAACTATTTTCTCACCTAACAACCGCCAAGTTAGTAGCTCTCTCTAGCTTTTACTTTGCCCAACTAGTATATTCTCGCTCAACAATTTTCAAATCAGTAGTTCTTTGACTTTAGCTTTGCCCAATGAGTATATTCTCACCCAACGAGTCTGCATAATTCTACAAAACATAATTATGCACATTTATGTCATTCCAACCTTGCAAATTCAATCAAACAACCAACACAAATGCCAAAACATACCAAATATCATATTATACACTACTAAATGACTCAATTCATCTAGATTGTAATATTAACAAAATAATTCATATAAGCCAAATTAAATCCTAACTCAACTCTACATATTATATTTCATCAGACAACTCAATCACGCAAACAACATAACGTACAAGCATACAATTACCAATTTAAAGGTATCTATTAGTTAAAAATAGTGTAATTAGTTTCCCTTGCTCGACTAATAGATAACAAGATCCTAACTAGCAAAACTCTTCCCAACTTGCAAGATGTTTTGTCTACACATAAAAATATCACAAGAATAATAAAGACATACCGTTATGATCGCTCTTTAACAGAGATTCATATAGATGACTAAAATGACACATGCAAGTGAAAAAGGCTCACATGCAACGAATAATAGAAAATAATCAAGAAAAAATTTTAAACTCAACTAACACAAACAAATAAAATGATGAATCCAAATTGAAAGACTCACCACAAATATCCGTCAGCGGTCTCGATTCTTCAATTTAAAGAAAAAAAACTATTATAAATAAATTAAATAACTATAAAAAAATAATTTTTAGAACAATTATTTATTTTAAAATAATAAAACTCATAATAACAAAACTATTTATATTAAAAAATTTAATATTAATATAATTAAATCTCATTATTTTTAAATCACTGACTTTTAAAATATTAATTTCTAAATTTTTACATTATCAATCAAGTTTTAAGTTACATAACTTTTTTTATTGACAGGTTAAATAAAATCAAAATTAATCATGGTATATACATGAAGTATACATTTTTATTTAATACATTAAATTGTATATTATATTTTAAAAGGCACTGCTTGCAAAATATGTACAAATTCTTATTAATATATAGACTGAAATTAATTAACTAGTTTACAAAACTAATTTAAATAGATTCAGGAATATACAACTTACTTTAAACTTTACTGGAATATTACTTTTTTTAATTGATATTAAATAAATTTAATTCATAAAATTAACTAATAATAATGTACATTTATGTTTTTGACAACAAAAGTGTACCTACAAAAATAAATGATAAAAGCTTTTTTTATTCTAAGGGCAGGTGAACGACCTGTCCAATCAGTCACACTTTAGTTAATATATATTTTTATTTAAGTTTTAAGTTTGTGATATATTTAGATATTTTTAATCGAGTTTATACTAAAAAAAGTTATTTTGTTGAATATTTAAAATCGGGATATTTTTTTAAACACACGATTTAATTAAGTTTTAAATTCATAATAAATTTAAACATTTGTAATTAGTTCTCAATTAAAAATTATATTCAATAATTAAAATCTTTATATTTTTCATTTATGTTTATTGTCGTAAATTGAAGTGTCGTGATTGTTTGATTATGTTACAAGCAAAAAAGCCATGAACTTGAAAAACAAGAAAAATAAAATTTTCACTTAGTTGATTTGATTTTCTTTTTTAATAAAATTAAAAGTCAAAGACTTAATTAAAAAGTATAATTTTTTTAAATATTCAATACTTTTTTAAAAATAGACATTCAATCGAAAACCTTAAATATCAAAATTTAATACTTAATTTTTTAAAACTTTAATATTTATATTATTCATTTTTAAATTATTATTAGGGATCTTAAGCACTACTCAGCATGGTTTATTGCATGTCTAAAATACCTATAGTCAAAATCTTGCTCTCATTTAATTAAAACAAAAAGGACATATATTACTTATATTAAATAATATTGGTATATATGTAACATGTTAGAGCTCCTTATGTGACCACCACATTAGCATGTCTATACCTGCATAAGTATAAATCTATCTTATACAATATTTGTTTTTATAACATTTTTAAAATAGTTTTTAGTTCTCCGATAAAAACATGCTTAAAATACAAACAGGTAAATTAAATTAATTGTAAAATTATATTTGAAAAGAAATTTTAAATAAATATTATAAATTCATGTTAATTTTTATTAATGTTAAAAATGATCTTTAATGAAGTATGATTTTTTTCAATAAATTATAATTTTGTTTTGAAAAAAGACATTGATTAGTCGTCTTTATTTTTTTTAATAATTAGTTGATTTCTATCACTTAAAATCAATCATGTTTTAAGAACAATTAAATGGAGTGGTCTTATTATCCATTCAAAAATAAATAAATAAAATTTAATTACAATAATTTAATACTACAAAAAAGTTTTAAAAAAAATAAATTAAAATTATGATACATTTTAACCTAAATTATTTTATTAATAAATAAAATACTTAATTCTTAAATTAAAATTATGATACATTTTAACCTAAATTATTTTATAGTATTATTAGGGTAAAAAGGTTATACTAAGCAATTAATGATAAATCATTAGAAAAATACTTTTGTTTTTAAACGTGTTTCTATGTATACTTTTGATCAAACGAATATTCCTATATCTGTATACAGATAGTTTGATGCTCAATTGTTTAAAAATATGTATTCTTTTTTTCTATCTCTATTTAAACATTCTTCATCTTTTCTACAGCTAGAATTGGAAGATGCTAATTTATATTTTTATCTTTTGTTAAAACCAATTTTATTAATATGATTGAACTTAATTAAAATTGAGATTATATAATATATGAGATCATTTTAAACTGACTTGTTAACACAATATATATGTTAAAATAAATTACACGAATAAAAATATATAGTATAATGTTATTATTTATTTAGTCGTGAGAAGTTATATTGTAATCCATAGTTTTTAAACTAGGTATGAAATTATATTGTAATGTATAGTATGAAAGTATATATGTTATAATTATTAGCATGTGGCATTTGCGATTGTGATAAGTCACTAAAAGGGAACATGATATTGCCTCTACTTTCAAACGAAATAGCAGTAACTCCTCACGAAAATCAACAGTTATATATATATATTATGAATATTAAAAGAGACCATCCATGTTTTTTCTATATTTTAGAAAAATTATAATGGTGTTAATATAATAGTATATATTAAATAATATCTGATATATTATGTGGTTAGAAAGTATACGTGGTTATAAAAGAAAAATAATAGCAATAATTGTAGAATTATAATAAACTCTTTACATATATTGGAGTGATTAACTTAATTAATTAATTGGTTGTTATTAAGTGGGAGTTTATTCTATGAAACTTATTCAATCAAGTAAAAGAAAAAACGAAAAAAGTTTTAACTATAAAAATATTTAAATTTATTTCTTGAAGAGATTGGTTAATTAAGAGAATAAAACTAGAAAGCTTTTATTGAAAAGTGTAGCAATTATTCTTTTTGGTTAGTAATTAAATTTATCATGGCTTTACATTCTATAATTCTTTTAACAAACATATTAAACATTAATTAAGGAATTAAAAACTGTAAAAATATCACAAATTAAATAAGTTTAAATATTCATTTTTTTTTTATCATGAAAAGACTTGAATAATAATATTTCTAACCCAAAATATGATATCGATATATTTTTAAAAAATTAACTTTATTATATTGCTTTTATTTAACATATAATCCATTACTGTTTACTTTGAAGTTTAAATTTTACGTACTCTAATATCTATACTAATATATAAAAAGAATTTTGTATTTTACTAAACCTTTTTTTTTTAAATTCAATCATTTTTTAAAATTTAAATATTTTTAAAACTAAAATAACTATTTAGGATAAAATGTTACCTACAAATTAACAAAAAATATCTATAATAAAATTATAATATCATTAAAAAAATGAAAAATTTTCCAACAATATTTATAATATTTTTTAGATAACATATTATTGGGAAGAAATATTCACCGATAACTTTGTCAGGGATTATTCTTTTATTGTAAACTTGATTCACCGACCACCATCAATGCTCTTTCCTTTTCTTTAGTATCTTTAGTAAAATAGAAAAAAAAAACATTTTTTTCTAGTAACCCTTTGCCGTCTCTTGTTAATTATTATTATTATAAAAGGATGATATAAAGTAATATATATATATATATATATATATATATATATATATAGGATTGACTAGGGAATTCGTTTACTTTAATAATTAATTAGTGATTTTATATAGGTTTTAATGAAATTTACGTGGTTACATCCTAAAAGTTATGAAAAGGTGTTGCCAGCTTTGGTATGCCGCGATTCACTGAAAGACGCTTTATTTATTACTAACGAGGAACACAAAAGCCACTGCTATTACTAGCAGAGAGCATCGCACATCTCTCAGACTATGGCTTCATCATCTCCATTTTTGGTGATGCTCTCAATGTGCTTGATAATTTGCTGCTGTGAAGCCAAACAGTATGTGGTTGGAGGCACTGCAAATTCCTGGAAGACTCCTCTCTCCTCACCAGATTCACTCATCCACTGGGCCAACTCTCACCATTTCAAAATCGGCGATACTCTCGGTATACTTCATAACTCATTCTTTTTCAAAGTTTTCTAAGAAGCATGATTTTACGATTGTTGAAGTTTTTTGTGTATGTATGTATGTAGTATTTAAATACGATGAGAGAACTGAGTCAGTGCATGAAGTGAACAAGACAGACCACGAAAGGTGCAATACGGTGGGGAAAGAACATGTCGTGTTCAAAGATGGTAACACCAAGGTCTTGCTTACGAAATCTGGATTCAGACATTTCATAAGTGGAAATCAGAGTCACTGCCGCATGGGCTTAAAACTCACAGTGGTTGTCGTCACTGCCAAAACCAAAAACAATCCTACTTCTCCAACACCATCACCATCACCTTCACCTTCACCTTCACCTTCACCTTCACCTTCACCATTGCCATCGCCTTCACCACTTCCAAATAATCACGGTGTTAATGGTAGTTCGAGTGGTGGATTCATTATGATGTGGTTGTTGGGGTTCATCATGTTACTGCTTTAATTTCAGACTAGCTATATTCTGTCTTTGCATCATAATGTTTTCGTGGCTATATATGTGACATATATTTACGAGTAGGTCAAGCATTTTTATTCTTGTTTTTTCAAGTGTGAAAGATTTTCCTTTGGTGGGAAAAAGGTTGTTTGGTGATTTTGAGATTGAATAAGTCATTTGTATTTTTAAATGCACGTGCATGCAGTGGCTCTTCCAAGTCATTTTTGTTGTGTATCTTACTATTTTGCATTAATCAAAATAATTTTCACTTTTTACTCTGCTCACTTTGCATTTAGAAAAAACGATTTTGAAATCCTTCAAAGTATCGTAAAGGAAAATTCCGACTTCAAAAGACTCAGTGTAAAGAGAGGTGGATACTTAGTCATTGAATTAAAGATATTGATTTTTATTATGATATCATCTGTGCAAAGTTACTTTACTAACCAAACAAGTTTCTCTCTATGCAAAATGAGAATTTAACAATGATAAACTAATAGTTAAATAAGAACTGATATACAAAAAGTAAATGCAGTGAATTATGGAAGAATCCATCAATAAATTAAATTGTGAATTCTATAAATTCAAGTTTACCAATAAACTAATCGCCGTTAATAATAATTTGTAAATAATTAAGAAAATTCTTGTAATGATATTTTTACATTTGTTAGGATTGACCATTATAACTTTTGATCGGTTAAAAAGTGTTATACTTTTGTGACATCAGTATTGGTAACTTAATCATAGTAAAATGTATAAAGTAGTTATGTAATAAATGTTTTGTATACTAGTGTCTTATAAATAATATTTTTGATTTATATAAAAAATCAGGAGTCTGATTTCCTAATAAGGTTCAAGAAATTAGAGACACTTGTAAAACCAATTTAATGTTAGTAAATTAGACATATATAACTGAGAACAAGTGCGTATAAATGATTCCGAAGATGTAGTAGATAGTGTGAGATCCACTCTTACATATTAAGAAATAAATCCCTGGCTATATTAATCACATGTGAATGACCAGAGATTTTTGGATTTATTACATCCATAGCACTTTTCTCAACTAACTCAAATGGGATATAAAGTGTAAAGTGTAAACTAAACAACTCTTCATTTTAGTGTCTTATTTTAGGGAGGTTCTGAATCTTCATTTTTGGATAATATTCTTATTTCTCAAAATTTTAAAACTATAACAAATACTATTAATTTATAAATAATAATCACCTCTTAAAATTAGATATCCTAACACCCTTTCACGTATTTCAATCAAATTGAAAAGTTTACAAAATGAAAAATTTCTTTTAACAATTTTTTTTATTTTGTTTTATAGATTGTGATAGGTTTATTTCAAATATATATAGACCAATAAAATAATGATACCTAATTTATTAAAAAAATTATTAAAAAAAATTATTAAAAAAAAATTATTAAACATACCATGATCCTCGGCATAACACTCGATGATCCATGAAATCTGGATACAACATTATGGATTTTTTTCTTCTGCATATTATTTGTCTTCCAAATTAATTTCTTAAACATATATATATATA